CCCGAAGAAGCTATTATTAGCTCCATTTTATAGATAAGAAAATCAAGGCACCAACAATTAGTAAGGTTACACAGCTAATAAACAGCATTGCCTGGGTCTGAACCCAGGCAACCTGACTTCAGAGTTCTGTCTAAACTGCTGTGTCAGCCCCCCCTGGGGCATGCTGACTGATGCCCGGGTCAGAAGGGAGAGCAAGGGCCCCAGATGTTTTTATTTGTAGGCCTGTCTCAAAAAATGTGTAGATGTCAGATGTCTACAAATTGCTGCAAATTGGACTTACTCACACTGGAAGGAATCCTATAGGCATTCCTTTGCAAAACAAATGATTAAAATGTCTTGTATAAATCTAGGGTTATTTAAATAAGGATGTACTTGCATCTGGCCCATTCTTTTTAGATGAATCAACCATCTTTAAAGCAGTTTTGGGTTCATAGCAAAATTGAGCAGAAGAGCAGACTTCCCAGGTACCCCCATCTCTCCCCCTAGTCTGCCCTATAATTGACATCCTGCATTAGAACTGATGAGCCTACACGGACGCATCATTATTATCCAAAGCCCATTAGGCTTTTCCTTGGTGGTGTACATTCTCTGGGTTTTGGCAAATATGTAAGTATAAATATTCACCATTACAGCATCACACAGAATAGTTTTACTGCCCTAAAAATCCTCTGTGCTCCTTTAATTCATCCTTCCTTCCCCTAGCCTCTGGAAACCACTGATCTTTTTACTGTCTCTGTAGTTTTACCTTCCTCAGAATGTCATGTACTTGGAATTACACACTATATAGCCTTTTGGGATTGTCATCTTTCACTAGTATTATGCGCTGTGGTTTCCTTTGTATCTTGATAGCTCATTTCTTTTTGGCACAGAATGTTATTCTATTATCTGGATGTATCACAGTGTATTTTTCCACTCATCTCCTAAAAGACGATTTCCAAGGGTTGGCAATTACGAATAAAGCTGCATAAACATTCATATGCAGGTTTTTGTGTGAACATAAATTTTCAGCTGCTTTGAGCAAATGTGGAAAAGCACCATTTCTGGGTCATATGGTAAGAGCATGTTCAGTTTTGTAAGAAACCACCAAATTGTCTTACAAGGAGGCTTGACCATTATGCATTCCCATCAGCAATAAATGGGAATTCTCTTTCCATATCCTCACCAGCATTCAATGTCATCATTTTTTATTTTGGCCTTTCTAATAAGTGTGAAATAAACAGTCTTTTTCTTTTTTCTCTCTCTCTTTAATGTTTTCTTTTAACCTAACAGGAGTAGCCAATGTGTTGTATGTATTTACATTTTAGTATATTATATTTTTGCTCAGGTCATGTTCTTTTTCAATTTTCTGGGCTTTTTCTTTGCTAATATTCCCATACAGCAAAATGGCAAAAAGAATGAAATAAAACAAAAAAAAAATCTTTGTTTTACACGATGTTATTATTGATTTACGATTCTGCATTCTTTAAATATTTTATTATTTATTTATTTATTCATTTATGCTAAGGATTGAACCCAGGGCTTCAGGCATGCTAAGTATGTGTTCTACCACTGAACTATACTCCCCAGCCCCGATTCATTTATTTTTAATTGGCAAGTGTACATTGTATATATTTATGTTGCTATATGTTCTTTTGATATATCTATACATGGTAGAATGGCTAAATTAAACTATTTGTTGTATCGTCTCATGTGCTTACCATTTTTTGTGGTGCCAACATTAAAATCTATTCTCAGCAGTTTTCAAGTTTATTTCTCTTTATCTTTGCCTTCAAGTCCCTCCCTCCAGCACCTGGAAGCAGATGAGCCACACCCAGAATCCTGAACAGGGCTGGGGCACAGCTCTCCTAGCCCAGGAACAGCCATGTCAGGCTGTCATGCAGATGTAGAAGTATCCTCTTGTGATCATGGTCAGGATCAGTCTGTTCAGGCCCGGGAAGGGCAATGGACTCTGCCTAGCTTCCCCTCCTTCCTCACAGCATCAAGTGAGGTATTTCCTGACACATCATTATTACCCAAAGCCCATTAGGCTTTTCCTTGGTGGTGTACATTCTCTGAGTTTTGGCAAATATATAAGTATTTTGGCAGATATATAAGTATGTTTCCCCTCCCTGCCTATACCCAACCCAGAGGACCTCCCCTTCTCACTATCCCTGGGGAGATGGAACCTGTGGACTTGTCACTCGGGCCTGGTTTATGTGGGGCCTTGGGAGGTGTGGGGAGTAGGGAGGAACAGATCTTGGTGTGTCCTCCCTGGGCATTTTAGCAGGCAGGAGGATGGCTTCTACAGATAGACCCTGCTGACTAGGGCTTCCACTCTGCCCTCAGTCTGGCAGGATGGGGACTCACTTGCAGGTATCTTGGCAGAAACTAGGAGCTGCCTGTTGTTCAGACCTCTGAGGGTGGGTCAGGGCAGGAATATTCAGAGGCTGCCCTTCTGCTCTCCCTGCCAGCAACCCACCCCAGGCTGGGCCCCATTTCCCTTGATGTTCTCCTTCATACATATGGCCAATCTGAAAGACCCCTTCCTGGATCTGTGGCCTCTCTGGGTTCTGGATGTTCTATCCACTTGAAGAGGAGATTCTGGGTCACTGAGGAAAGGTGAGCACAGCATCACTCTTGGTAATTACAAGGGACCAGGATCTGGGTAGTGGAGGGCTCCTAGGCATTGGGGCCCTTGGGAATGAGCCCAGTGGTCAGGCATGTGGCTGTCAAGGGTAGGCAGGCAATGCTCCCAATGTTCTATGGGAGCTGCAGGCATGGTATATAGAGGTGGAACTTCAGGCTCTACACTCCTGTGACTGTGCTGTGTAGACAGACCCCAAACACAGGACAGAAGTAGCAGTGGGGCCATCAGTTAGATTGACAGGCAGAGGCACTGCATTTTGTTTAAGGTGCTAGATCAGTTACCTGCCTGGTAACAGAGGTGACAGACAAAATCTATACCAGGCCATTGGCCATGTGCCCTGTGAATCTATGCCAGCGTAGCCCCGTGTGACTAAGGAGTCAGGGCTGACCCCGTGGCCTGGGGCCACTTGGCAGGCTGCACCTCACTCTGTAGCCCCGTGTCTGTCACCTACTGAGAACACATGTTGCCCCAGGCTTGTCGCTGTTCCTGGAACATGCCAGGGCCTCTGGCCTCTGAGCCTCTGCTGATGCAGCTTTTGACTTGTAGATGCCTCCCTCTTTCCAAGCCTAGCCTCAGTGCTCCCTCTGCCTGGAACCTATGCCCCACCTCCCCATTAGAGGACTTCCTCCCCCTTGGTTGGTCCTTATGGCCTGTCTGGCACATTATGGTTCCTTCCCCAGCCAGTCTCCCATGGTCCACAAGTTCCTTGAGGATGGAGACTGCCTCCTCCCATTCTGAATCCGTCCTGGCTCCCGGATTCCCTGCCAGGGTCTCCCACATGGACTCTCATGACCTGGGATTAACTGGGACTAAGTGTGGACTACATATTTGGGGCACGACTGGATTTTTCATGGACCAGTGCCTCTTTCTCTGTTAGCTGGCCTGGATCCTGCAGAGGGGGCTTGCCTTATTCCTTGCTGGGCACAGTGCATGCCTTTGGGTGGGGACCTTTTTTAAACCAGCTCCCTCCTGGTCCCTGAGAATAAGCACTAATACAAGGAAAATGTCAACACTGAGGTTTGGCAAAAGCCTCATCTGCAGGATCCTGAGACAGAAGCAAGCTAGGAGGGGTGAGAGGCTGAGTCAGCAGAGGGTCCATGAGTAACGAATGGGGTGGTGGGGACTATGCTTCACAAAAGGTTGGGCTGTGATGGTGAAGTTTCAGCATAGTTAAGAGATTTCAAATCACAAGCAGGAACTTCAGGATCCCCTTGTCTTAAACTGCAAAAGCAGTCCCTCATCACCCAAAGTGGCAAGCCCGCTCTGCCCTGTAGTGGCCGCAGGTCCTGCTCTCATGGCCTGAAAGCATGACCCTGCCTCCAGCCACCTCCCCAGGCCTGGCAGGTTGTGGTGATGAGGGATTAAGGGGTTTGACTCCTGAGAGCAGTTGGGAAAGTCCCCGCACCATCACCATCAGCAGATTCTGTCACTCTGTCCCTGTCACGTCTTGCCCACGTCTTGCCTGCAGGAGCAGCTGTGTAAGCCCTGACTCAAGCTGTTCTCCACCCCCTTCCCAGCAGAGGCCTGGGCCAGGAGGGAGGGCACAGAATCTTCCTGTGACGTTCAGGCCTCAGAGAAAGGTGGCCCAAATAGTTGCTGGGAGAATAAACTGTCATGACAGTAGCTGTCACAGTTTGCTCTTTCTGTACTCTGGGCCTTGTTCTACTCCTTTCTATTTGCTCTCTCATTTAAGCCCCACAGTAACCTTGCAAGGTAGGTTAGGTACATTTTTTTTTTTAAAGTAATTTTTTTTTTTTGCACCAACAGGCACATTTTGAAGAGGAAATGGCAGTATTTATTTTTATTTTTTGAGAGAGACAGAATTTTAATATTTATTTTTTAGTTATTGGTGGATACAACATCTTTGTTTGTATGTGGTGCTGAGGATCGAACCCGGGCCGCAAGCATGCCAGGCGAGCGCACTGCCACTTGAGTCACATCCCCAGCCCGGTTAGGTACATTTCCCAGATGAAAAAATTGAAGCTTGGGAGAAATGACTTTCCCAAGATCATATGGCCAGGAAGGGGTGAGGCTGTCTGACTGAAGATTCATGATGAATGAGTGGAAATGATTGAATGAGGACTTCCTCTGTCTCTGAGGAACCTGATCCGCGGGGACTGACTTTGAAGGACAGATGCAAGTCTTGGGGCTGGACACCCTGGGGTCAACCACATCAGTCCTGAGCCTCCCCCACAGGGGTCAGGGTAGAACACTTGAAGGTTATTATGCCCCACCACCTGACATCACATCCTCATCCTTGGGAAGAAAGTTCTCTATTATGATTCCCACTCAATTTTGATGGGACCTACCTGCCAAGCATCAGATACAAGGCAGGAAGGTTGGGACCAAACATCAGTCTTGTGCCAAAGAAGGTGCCTCGCCTGCTTTTTCCCCTGTGGGTGAGGCTGCTGTGTGGGCGTGGGGTGATTCACGTGGAGCACGTGGGTGGTGGGCGTGGCCTGCCTGGCGCCAAGGGCAGGTAACCCAGCCAGTTCTGCTTCTGACGCTTCATTCCAGCCATCAGCAGTCCCTGTGCCTGCCATGAAAGCCTCTCGCTGCCTTGGCCGCAGTCCCAGTGGGGGGCCTTGGGCCCCCGACATGCGGTGATCTCAGGGCAAGAGCTGCCACCACCACCCAGGACCTCTCCAGGTGAGTCCTCACCATCCAGGGCAGCTGGTATCCTCCAAGGCACATGGGGGGCCTAGGGTGTGGGCCTGGGGGTTGCCTGAGCCTTGTCTGCTCATTTTCAACACCTTGGGGAAGTCAGGAAGGAGCCTGGGCTCCAGGAGGGGAAACCCAGAAGCGAGCTCTTAGCTGCTGTGCCACGTGAGAAGGTAGGTTCCAAAGGACCCAGGAACCCAGAATTTGGGAACCCTGAGGAGGGAGATGATTTCACAGCTGTCCAAGGCCAGAGGTGAAGCTCCTGTTTCCCTTGGTGGGCTCTGGGATCGCAGTTCTCGGGGGCAGAAGTGTGACAGGAGTTGAGGATGGAATGAAGTGGCTCAGTGCTGAGGAGGGACAGGGCCCAGGGGTGTCCCTGTGGTTGCCAAGCCAGGTCATTTCAATCACTGTCAGGGCTTTGGGGGTGTGATATTCCATTTCTCAGGTGATGAAGCTGAATCCCAGACAGAGGGATGGCCAGGGCAGAGAGAGAGGCCAGCAGGTGAGCTTACAGGGTTTATGGGGTGACTCAGTGAGCTAATTATAGCTGCTGTAGCCCAGTTCAGATTGTCCTGGCCCTGTTCTGTCCTGGCTGCCCACACTCATGGGGAGAGAGGATGGAGCAATCCGTGCCATGGGTTAGGGTTAAAGGATCTTTGGGGATCATTCAGCCCATTTCTCAGGAGGGAAGTCAGAGGTCCCCGGAAGGAGTAAGAGACATTCTCTATCCTTCTTTCCTCGTGGCCCAGCCCAGCCTTTAAGTCCCATCTGTCCATGGGTCTTTGGGGGCTGGGACAGGCAATCAGGCCACCTGTCTTTATCAGGCGGTGATTGGATATAGGAGGGACTTGGGTGTTCCTGAGGCTCTCTCCATGGGCTGCCCACCTGGCTGGCCTTAAGGCCCCTCCTGAAACCTCCCTGCTTCAAAGTTCCTGCATTCCAGGGCCAAAGCCCTCCCCAGGATGACTTCCCCTATCCTGAACCTGCTTACTGTTAGTGCGGGCAGCAGGGCTGCCTCATTTCAAAGTCCCTCCAGCCTGATGACAACCTGTTCTGGACACTCCCTCCAGGAAGCTCTCCTACCTGGGGCAGGACCCCGGTGGTTCTGGCTCTATCCCACCAGCTGGCTTCATCTTACAGAAATCCACCCCTCCCTTCTCCTCTCTGTATCCCAGTAGGTCCCACGAGGTGACTTAAGCCAAGATTGGCTTCTTAACTGCAGACCTGCCTCCTGTCCACACCGTCCTCTCCCCATCCATCTTACTCTATGTGGGCAGATGCCCCTTCTTCATCCTCATCCCCCCCTACCCCAGCAGCCTCCTCCTGGCCCCCAGGTTACTGATCTCTACATCTCCATGCCCCTGTAGCCCCACAGCCCTCCATTACTCCCTGCTGCCCTGGGATCAGCCATGGTGCCCAAGTGGTGCTAGAGGTCCTCACGATGGGGTCCCACTGCTCCCGAGCCCCTGCCTGACTGGATTCTCCACAGACTCCCCAGGTTCTCCAACCCCACCAGCTCCTTGCCACTCTCTGGACTGTCCTGATCCCTAGTCTTTGCCCAGGCTGTGCTGGCTGCAGGGATCACCCCGCTTCCACATAGAAGCTTTTGGGTTCCCTTCAAGACGCCTTCCCTCGTCTCTTTGGAATATGTCTCAGTCCCTCCTCCCAGCATCTCCGCACCCCTTGGAGCTCACCAAAGTGCTCAACCAATTCTGAGCATTGGTAAAGTAGGTCTGGACTGAGGAGGGGTCAGCCTCAGGGGAAAGGATTCAATTCCTCCCTCCAAGCAAGAGTGTCTGTGGGGGGTCCAGCAGACAGACAGCTGTCATGGCTGGGTGACAGAGATGATCAGTGTAACAGGTACAGAGACCAGCTGGGTGATGAGAAATCTAAAATATCAGAGGAATCCAAGGCTGTGTTACTAGGAACATAGGGTCTAGAGAAGCGGAGGTGAAATCTGGCTCTGTCAAGGTCAAATGTCTTAAGCGTAGATCTGAACATAAATCCTAAGGGAAGCATAATTCTATTTGAAGTCTGGAGGGGCTAGATATGGTGGTTAGAGGAGAGGCTATAGGCCACGGTGGTCTCTACCTGGATGCCTTGCTGGGCTCTCTTAAGGCCACCTAAGCAGGGAACAGGAGAAACTGCAGAGACAGTCTCCCTGCTCCTAAGAAGGACTGGCAGCCTGGGAAAATGGGGAGCGAATTCTCTGTCCTAGGGGGACAGAGAGTGTGAACCGGAGCTGGATGGTGCCATATGGTGGTGTGAAGTCCCCCGAAACTCCTCCATGCCCCCTCAACCTGAGCATCTGCCTTGTGATTGCATTCCAGCCATGCATGCCCACCCCAAGGAGATGGTGCCCCTAGTGGGCAGGAGGACCACTGGCCCCAGTGGAAACCCTGTTGTCCTGACAGAGAAGAGACCGGCAGAAGTCACCCCCACCAAGAAGAGGTAGGACTGGCAGACTTGGACCTGGCTTTTGTGCAAGTGGGGCACAGAATCTCTACCCTAAGGAACCTTTGCTTCCTGTGACCTAAGAGCATCAGCGTTGTATGGTGGTCTGGTGTTTGAATAGGTATAACTGGGGGGACAGCACTGCATACTTTGCTGGAGATATCTGTGTGACTGTATGACTCCTGGAGGAGTCAGGGGACATAAGGAAGGCTCCTGAAGGAGGAGAGGGACTGTTGGAGCCATCTTTGAGACAAGGATGGAAAAGGTGGGTGGGAATTCCAGGTGGTTTGGACCCTCAACTAGATCCATTTTTCACATACATCAATGACTTTCATTTTGTGTATGCCTGACCAGGTTAATCAAGCTCTCTAACCACATCTGTGTAAAAGAAGTTTTGTAAACAAAGAAAAAAACAAAACCCAGTTTCATGTATGAGAACAGCTACCAAAGGTGGAAGGTACTATGAGACCATAGACAGATTCTGGATAGCAAGTATGATTTACTGGGGACTTGCAGACAGAGGTGTGTCTTGGGAGGCATAAGACAGGAGGATCCTGGCACTTCAAGGCTGGAGGAAAGGGTTAAAGCTGTTCTGGACAAAGGTGGCCATGAATGTACCTGGATTTCTCAATTATTAACATGTCCCATGACAGTTGGGTGCCGGTCCTGGTGTTAATGGCTAGCACAACACTCTGGACTCTCTACCTTAAGGAATTTATTTGTCCCGTAAAGTTTGTGATATGTGCCAGGGTCACGTAGCAGGCAAAACGGAGATTGTGACCAAGACGGCTGGATCCCTGCATGGGGACCCTGGCAATGGCACCAACTCAGAGGATGATGGTTAATTGGGATTATGGCAACCAAGTGCTCAGCACAGTGCCTGGTGTGAGGCCAGTGCTCAGCATGTGTCCATAGTCAACAACTTGTTACCCTCATCATCGTCACTGTTGTTGTTACTCTGTGAGGCTCCCGGGAGCTGGGATGGTTCATTCCACTTCCCTGCTGGGGAGACTGAAGAGGGCAGGGGCTTCTCTAGGCTCACATTTTCCTGCTTCTGAGCTGCCTCCAAGACAGGCCCTCCATCCCTCAGCTGCTTGGGTGCTTCTTGAATGGGCCAATCTAGAGCAGAAGGCCACCTCAGCTGTGCCTCCCTTAGACCTAGGATGGCCATTTGCCTTGCCTCCTCTGTTCTCTTCCCAGGTCTCCTCTTGGGCCTAAGGCAAGCTTGGTGTTTTCCTTCTGTTTTTTTTTTCAAAGACATAATCATTGAGGTGTCCTGTGTATCAGGCCCAAGGTTAGACCGTGGACAGGGAAACAGGGACACTGGGATGGGGACCAATGAGAAGTTTGGTGCAGCTGAAATGCTGAGTGGGGAGAGGAATTTGGGGGGCAATGAATCTCACTGGGGCTGGTCTTGGGATGTCAGTTAAGGAACTTGGACAATCCTGAGGGGAGTGGGGAACTCTCAGGAGGGTTTGGAAGTGAGGGACTTCCCATGGGACAGTGTGGTGAGATTTGTATTTTGGAAAGATTACTTTGGGTGACCCACATGGATGATGGATTGGAGGGGAGGCAGGGCCAGGGAGGTCATAAGGAGGCTGTCTGGAAGGCCAGGTGAGGTCTGAGCCTGGGTTATCAGGGATGGAAAGGAAAGGACAGATCAGAGAGGTATTAGTGTCATGGGATCTGCTAGGGGAGGGAAGGGAGAAAGAACCGGAGTCACCTCCTTCTGGTGGGTTGACTTGGAGAGATGGTGGGGCCATCCCTGACTTGAATAATGTGTTATACCAGCTACCAAAGGTGTAACACATTGTTCAAGGTCACAAGGAATGGTCCAAGTTCAGGTGTGGAATTCTGGGTGAGAGGCGTCTGAGGGATATCGAGATGGTGACTTCATCCTGGAGCTCAGCAGAGGAGACCGGGTGGAGATGGAGATGAGACAAGTATCTCAGGAGCAAGAGGGGCAGCCTGGGTCTGGATGTGCCTGTCCAGGAAAGAGCAGAAAGATCTGTGAGCTACGTTGGCAAGGATCACCTTCCCCTCTCATTTTCTCAGGGGAGGTTCAAATCTTGAGGAAAGATTGAGGACAGGCTTTTGGAAAAATCCCAGGGTATCCCTGCTACAGGAACAGTCTACCTTTTCTGAGCCTCTCACCGTTCATGGACTGCTCTAGGTGTGGCTCTTACTGGTTGACTGCTTGGCCCAGTCGAGGGTATGAGGTGTGCTTCTTTGTCTCCTGAACTGGTGGCCCAGAGATGCTCCAAGGGCTCTTGTGTGAAGGTCTGGACATCTCCTGCAGAACTGAGTATAAGACTTAGGGTTGTAGACAGGAAAAGAAAAAAATATATGCAAAGAAAGAGGGCGACCCTGCACAGGAGAGAACCGTGTACTAATGACAGAATTGAAGGAACTAGGAAGTCTACAGCACAGGAGAGATTTTTTGGATCTGGGGGCTTTGCCTGAGCTTCATGCTGTTCCCTGTGAGCAAGGTGGTGCCCAGGATCAGAGATGCAGGCCATAGGGGGCTGTGGGAAAGCTGGGCATTTCTTGGGACAATGCAGGTGGCCAGACAAGCTCCTTTCCAGCCCTGGACTTGCTCGCAGTCCTGGAGTTATTCCTTGGGAGGAACAGAAATGCAGGAAGAAATGGTTTAGAGTTGTCTGTGCACCTGAATTAACAATACCCAGGTGAAGACCTTTGGCCTGAACCAAAAGTAGGAGTAAACAAGGATCACTGGCAGTGGGCAGGAGTCAGGATGTCCTGGGCCAAGACCTGGCCATGTGCCTACGAAGGTGGGAGGGACGTGGGGTGCGGAAGCAAGTAGGCAGGCACGAGGCAGGCCCTCACGCCTAGCAGCTGTCCATCCCAGGAGTTAGGTCCTTGCCCAACAATTGGGTCCTCCCTAGCAGGGTTTTTGTCACTCTCTTCCTCACGTCTTGCACTCCAGCCACTGGGGATGTCCTTCCCAAGACACAGCCCTACCCTTCCTCCCCAGGACACTTTTCTCATGCTGCCCTCTCTGCCTCCAGGGCTTTTTCTGATCCAGCAGAGCATCCTATTCCTGTCTTTAGCTGCAAGGAACTTTGCTTCCCTTGAGCTCCCACAGCCCCACCCTCCTCAGAGGCCGAAGCTGTCATTGGGATGATATGTTAGCCCTGGTTGGGATCTGTGAGGATGCAGTCCTTAGAAGGGTCATTTTCCCCTCCTACCCTCTAAGTTTCTTACATGGAGCATGTGAGTAGTTTTTGCGTTAAGTGGATGAGACCATGAAGGAGCACGAAAGGAAAGGAGAGGGGTGAGATGAGGAGCCCAGCATGGCCACTCAGCACAGCCACTTAGCACCGACAAGGACACTGCAGGGTGAGCTGATGCCTTGACCCCTTCTGTGGGCCCTCAGCCTGGGGTGGACAGATGCTCTCACCATCTGGCTTCCTGGACTGTCCTTGTGGAATTGTGGTTCTCATGCTCACGCGTGTCTGCTCACGTGGGTGAGTCTGAAGATAGGGTTGAGCTGTGGCTGGCTGGACTTGAGGGCTCAAGGGACAGGGCTAAGAATCCCTCAAGAGAGAAAGCCAGGAAACCACACTGGGGAAGGAGGGGTGAGGCTGGAGACAGGATCAGCTTTCTCATTGGGCTGGGAGAGGAGGTTCTGTGGCCTGGCTGAGCCCCAGAGAAGGGCAAACACTCACTGCCACAAAAACACACCCTCAGCTGCTCCTCTGGGAGAAGGTCTTGAAGAGAGGGCAGGTGAGGAGAGGCAAAGGACCCCTTGTCACTTGTCCAAGCCCGGAAAGGGGCTGAGGCTTAGAAGAGGCAATGAGAGCAAAGTAGGAGTCACGTGAAGGATTCCACTTCCTAATATTTATGGTTTATTGTTGTGTTGGTATGTCTGATTTTTGATTCTGACCACAGATCTCTGAATTTATTGTATTTACCCTATCTACATACCTGACTACATTATTCATCCGTCCGTCCATCTGTCCACCCATCCATCCAATCATTCTTCTATCATCTAGCCATTACTCATCCATTCACTCATCTGTCCCTCTCTCTAACCAGCCATTCTTCCTTCCACTCTTATTTATTTATTTTTAAAATATTTTTTTAGTTGTCAATGGACCTTTATTTTATTTATTTATACGCAGTGTTGAAAACTGAACCCAGTGCCTCACACATGCTAGGCAAGTGCTCTACCACTGAGCCATAATCCCAGCCTTCCACTCATTTATCTTTCTCTCATACCTATTCTCCCACTCACTCATTCAGCAAGGGTCTTCTGAGTGACAGGACCCCTGTTGGAGAATGCAGGACGATTTTGGGGAATCAGGATGGTGCAATTGTGGTCCCTGCTACTAAGGAACTTATAGCTGAAGGATGATGGATGGTCCAGAGCGCAAAGCCGTGGCCTCAAGCACAGTACCCTGCTCTCTCCCTGGGGGACTGGATCAGCAGACCCGGGAGGGCAGGGAGTTTGCCCACTTACTCACCACTGTACCCTCAGCTTTGGGAACAGTACCCAGCACATTGTAGGTCAATAAATATTTGTTAAGTAAATGCACCACTGAGTAGCTCAGGTGGGGTGGAGTGGGAACCAGGAGAGAGACTGGATCAACTGCCTTAGAGGAAAACTTGTGGGTGTGGGGGTTGGAGCTCCGCGCGGAGAATATTTGGCAGATCTCAACCAGGATAATTTGAGGCTGAGCCTTCAGCAAATGAGTTTGTAGCTCTTGGGTTAGAGAGCTATACTGGAATGGCACTCGTTTTGGGGTGGCAGTTCTGGGGCACTGCAGGGATCCGTAGGTGTGGCAATCAAACTGGTTGGCCTTTCATGTCCCAGAGCTGACCTGGCTCCAGAGTGCAGGCCTTAGGAATCATCTGACCTCACCGCTATCCATTTGCATGAGGACACTTGGTTTGGTGATGGAAAGTGACCACCTGGGCCACATAGGAGGCAGAGGCAGAGAGCCTCTAGAACTCAGGCTTTGGGTTTCCAGCCAAACGTTTACTCTTTCCTTTTTCTTCTTTTTTGGAAGAAGTCTTTGCTTTTGGATCAGGTCATAAATTTCCTTCTGATGGGCAGGAGCCAAGAAGGCGAGGGCCAATGTCTCAGCCAGCACTGTCCACTGCCCCCCTTATGCTCCATCTCTGGATTAGCTCTGAGCCTTCTAGGCTTATCTAGAGGCCAGTTCTGAGCCCCTCCTGCCTGCCCCACCCTGGGCAGTAGCTATATGGGGCAGTCTCTCTCTGTGGCCAACCTCTGCAGCTGGTTGGGTTGAAAGCAAGCCCAGAGGGATGAACTGAGAGCAGAACAATATGGATTATGGTGTGAACTGGGAGCCTGGACACCAGCAAGCAGGTTCTCAGGCCAACTTGGTTTCTACTCTGTGGGGGGAGGGTGACCCTAATGAGCTGCTTGTCTGTACTGAGTCTCAGTTATCTCATCTGTGGAGTGGGGCCACGATCCCTTCTCTTCTGCCCTTCCTTCTGAACTTGACTAAGTACAGCTAAGTGGGACTGTACTTTGGGAGCTTTTATGGGATCTTGTGAGGATGGGAGGGTACCTGCTGGAAGGCATCAGGAAGCAAAGGTTCTTGGGAGCCTCGTGTGCCTGGAGAGAGGCCTGGCAGTGGGAGGCCACTGACCTGGACACAGTTAGCAGATGTGCTGCAGCAGCTGCAGGGTAGGGTGTTGCTGCAACTGAAGTCACCCTCGGCCTGATCCTCACCATCCTAGTTGTCACCACCTCTGAGTGTGGGATTAGAGTCTCCATGCTCACACACATCTGTATTTGTGGGTGTGTCTGAAGATGGGGCCCAGGGCTATAGGGCTCAGTGGACTATGGCAGGCCCCGGACCACACACTGGGTCTGAGTCTTGACTCTCTTGTGACAGTATCTGTCCTTCTCTGGGGTCAGCCAAGCCATAGGGCCTCTTCTGCCAGTTTAGGAGAAGGCTGTCCCAGGCCCTGCCTCTCCCCTCACTGCCTGGGCTTTCCTTTTTGACTCATCAAAAAGTCAAAAGGTGTCTCAGCCCTGCTCCCTGAGCCCTCAAATCCCCCCTGCTCTAGATCAGCCTTTTCAACCTGTTTTCTGTTGTGATAAAAATTAAAACAAAACAAAAAACCCTACCCTTTGCTGAACAAAGGGACCTGGGACAGGAGTAGGGGTAAGCTAGTGTGACTCTGGCCTTTTCTCCCTCCCTCAAGAGCCCGTAAGGCCTGCATGGATTTTGGAGTCCAGAGGCCTCCTCTTGCAGGGCTCTCACTTCAGACCTGAGTTCTGAGGGCAGCGGAGTGGCCATGGGGAAGCTAGCTCTCTGGGTGCCCTGTTCTCATCTTTGAAAATCCTCTAAACCTGAAGGCAGCTGTAGATCCCCAGGTATTGGGCCACCCCTAGTAGAGACTCTGTGGTTTATCCACTCAGCATTTTTAGCAATAGGAGTCACCCAGACTCAGTCTCAAATCCAGGCTCTGCCACAGTGCTGCATGTGACCATGTTGTGTTGGGTTACCCCAGAGCCTCCCAGGGGCTCATCTGTGAACTGTGATAGTGCCTGGCCCTAAGGGCTGCTGTGAGGGCTAGATGAGGTCAGGCCACGCAGAGTTGGCTGAAGTGTGGGGGACCCTCCATGGCAGGGGTGCAGGATGCACAGATGGACAGGTGATGCCCCATCTCTAATGACCTTTCTTGGGTGTCCCCTCAGTGCACACTTCTTCCTGGAGATAGAAGGGTTTGAGCCCAACCCCACTGTTGCCAAGACCTCGCCCCCCATCTTCTCCAAGCCCATGGACTCCAATATCCGGCAGTGGTGAGTATCAGCCCCTTGCTCAGCCCTCAGCTCCCGTGGTTGCCCAGCAACATGCCCAGCAACATGGGCTGTGTAGCCTGGCTTGGCTGTGGGGTACTACCATTTTTAAACTTGTCCCTCCTGCCATACTTCCAGTATCTCTGGCAACTGTGATGACATGGACTCTCCCCAGTCTCCACAGGATGATGTGACAGAGACCCCATCCAATCCCAACAGTCCAAGGTGAGTCTGGCCCTTGCCCATCTCCAACTGGGCCTACCAAGGGAAGGGGGTAGGATAAAACTTTGGAGGCCTGGGCCATGGTTGTGGCATGGAGGTCATTTAGTGAGGGAAGTGGAATATCAAATTTTATAAATTGTAAAATAATACCCGATCATTATAAAATAGTACACAGAGGATCAATAACTTTAGCACAAGACCACTTATGTAAACTTAAAATACATGCATTGAAAAAAGCAATATGCATTTTGCAAAAACACATGCAAACAAGAAGAGACATCAGTGCATCACCAGGTCTGTCCATTTGGAGTATGAGGACAAGGATGGATTGGAAAAGTTCAAACAATGCAAAATATGAAAGTGAAATTTTCCTTCCCCTAGTCCCATATTTCAGGGCAATTTGCTGTGAATAGTTAGGCACATATTCTTCCTGATTATTCCTAAGTGTATCCAGATACATATTTTGATAAATGCGATCACATATGGATAGGAAGGGGAGCTTCATGGGGCAACATGGAGCCCCAAAAGCACAAACACAGGTGTTGTGACAGGCCTGTGAGGTGTCCCTGAAGGTCCAGCAACTCTGTTGGGGAAGGGGTGATGGTTGCAGGGCAGGGGATAAGGGGATGGTGTGCACAGTGAATTGAAAACATTTTCTGGCCTCAGTGCAAACCTGGCTAAGGAAGAGCAGAGGCGGAAGAAGAAGCGGCTGAAGAAGCGCATCTTTGCAGCGGTGTCTGAGGGCTGTGTGGAGGAGCTGGTGGAGCTGCTGGCGGAGCTACAGGAGCTTTGCAAGAGGCGCCGCGGCGGCATGGATGTGCCTGGTCAGTGCCTGGTCCTGGCAGACTCTGCAGGTCTAGGGATGCCTCTTGGCCCTTGATTCCTGCCCCATCTCCTGTAGGGCTAGGTTTTGAGGAGCCTTGCGTGCTGGGATAGCAGCCTTTAACTCAACTCTGAGGGCAGTGGGGAGCTATGGAAGGGTTTAGGCAGATGGGCATCATGGCCTGGCTCCTGCATGTTGCTGTTCAAATGGTGTTGGGACTCTGAAGGAGGGCTGGGAGATTTCTTCAGGCATGGCATTGTCAGAACTTGGTGACATGAGGATTGAGGAAGAGAGGAGTCCAGGGTGGCACCATTTGGACTTGGGTAGCTTGGTGGATGGTAGGGTCCTTGCTGTCTGGGGGACCCAGAGAAAAGCAAGTGAAAGAGGAGATCCCAAATAAGATCTATTTGTAGGCTCCAGGGAGGGAGAAGATGGAGATAGAGATTTCAAAGTATCAACACAGAGGTGGAAAGAGGGAAGCCAGGCAGTGGGTGAGACTGCCCCTTGCCAGGGACAAGGAGCAGAGGCCAACGAGCAAAGGGCTTTCTTTGGCAGGAGAAGGGAGAAGGAGCCCAGAGCTGGAGAAGGAACAGCTGGTAAAGAAGGAAGAGTGCTAGGAAGTTCACGTTTGGGGAGGCCAGGCAGGGGACAGGGTGGGGAGCAGGATCTTGAGGCGAGAGGCTGCAGCTCCCACACCTTCTTTTGGGTTATGAGGGTCAAGGGCAACTGGTCCCTTCTGCCCACACCTCCATCTGTGACCCTGCCTGTAGACTTCCTCATGCACAAGCTGACAGCCTCAGACACAGGGAAGACCTGCCTCATGAAGGCCTTGTTAAACATCAACCCCAACACCAAGGAGATCGTGCGGATCCTGCTGGCCTTCGCCGAGGAGAACGACATCCTGGACAGGTTCATCAACGCCGAGTACACTGAGGAGGCCTATGAAGGTATCCTGGCTGCCAGAGGCTGTGCAGATGTTTCCCAGGTTGGGGTGCCGGGCCACAGGGCCACCAGAGGCACTGCTACCACCTAGAAGCCTGAGCGCACTGCATGGTGCTGGGCATGCAGCAGGCACTCCACTTGCCCTTCCTTCTTTCTACAAGCAACTGTGAGCACTGACTATGCGCCAGGTGTTGTTTTTGGCACCTGGGTGAACAAGAGAGATTAAGGTCACTGCTTTAAATAAGGTAATTTTAGACAGGAAATCTATGGAAATAAAGGTAATATGACAGAAAGGGGCTGGAGATAGGCCACTTTAGCATGGATGGAGAAAAGGACTCTTGACTGCATGATGAGAAGAATCCAGAGTGGGAATGAGTGAGGCATATGGCAATGGACAGGAGGCTGGAGATGAGGCTGGACATCCCAGCAGGGGCCCAGAGAAGCAACTATGTATCATCATCATCATCATTATTAATGGTCCCGTTTGAGTCTTGGTGCTGTGTAGATGGTACATGGAGACAAATTTGGGATAGTATTTCTCTACCCAGGAAAGTCATTGTGAATAATCAATAAGATATGTGCTCATTTGCGTTTTTAGAGTCAGTAAACAGCCTGTTAAGGTTAGATGCTTGTAGCAAAAATAATTGGTTCCTGATTGGTCATCTTGCTGACATGCCAGTGGGCACTAAGAACCTCACCTTTTTCCAGGTGGAGTCTAGCTCAGGCCCTTCACTGTTCTTATTAAGAAAACCATTTTATTACTTAAACTCTGCAGATTGTCAAAAGGTTTTTTGTCATATATAAGAAAACACCAAGGATGTGACACATAGAAGCTATGGAAAAGGGGAGAGGAAACCCAGGGAAGATTGCTGCTATTGAGTGTTGAACTGCACATTGAGTTGGTAGTCAAAGCAAAGAGAGAAACTGAGTGAGCCATACAATATTCTTAGCCTGGCACTAAGGAGTTGATGCTAGTCCTCTAGACAGCCAGGTTCAGACCAGTGCATCAAGTTTGTCTTGATTCTTCTCCCTTTTCAGTCCCCTTCTGTGCCCTCCTCAGGGACTTAGAGATTTTACCTTTCTGGCAGCGGATTCCCTTGAGGGCAGGGATGGAGTCCGTTTTCCCACAGTTGATTTTCTGGTGCTTTTAGGGTCTCACATTGGAGATATTTAATATAGATTTTTTGATTGGGTGGACAAATTAAAGTTATTAGTATCTCATCAAGGCCTTGTGTAGTGGCCACAAACCCGACTCCTCTCCTTTCTCTGCCACCCCTTATCTCTTCCTTCTTTCATGAATTTGTCTCCTGCTGGTGGGCTTCTCTCTCTGCAGAGTAGAAGCAGCAATTTTTTCCTGCCGCCCAGGATACCATCCTTGCCCCACCACTCTGCCCCCTGACGATGTCTCTGAGGCCCTCCCTTCAGTGTTTCTAGGCAGTCCCCGCCACGTGGGGCTGCGGGATTCCTGGATCAGTTAGGTTGGTCCCCGGGTCCCAGCGCTGAGCACCCCTGCCCGACCCCGCCTGTCCGCAGGGCAGACCGCGCTGAACATCGCCATCGAGCGGCGCCAGGGAGACATCACCGCGGTGCTCATCGCGGCGGGCGCCGACGTCAACGCCCATGCCAAGGGGGTCTTCTTCAACCCCAAGTACCAGCACGAAGGCTTCTACTTCGGTAGGTGCCGCTGTCGCCCGGGGTGGGCTGGGGGGGGTGGCTTCCTAGGGAGGAGGAGGGGAAAGGGTGAGCCCGAGGGGCTGGGGAAGCGGGAGGAGGGAGGTGGACGTGTGGACAAGTGGGGGAGGGGAGAGAAAGGGGGAGGGCAAGTAGGGGAAGGGGAGGGGCAGGGGCGTCCCCTGCTCTGGCTCGGGCAGGTGGTACCTGCCCCCAGAGGCGCTGGCAGGCTGGAGACCCTTTAGCCAGGTAGCAGCTTCCAGGCTGCGGAGGACAGAGCCTGATTGGGAGGCTGCTGAGACAGATCCATCTGAGCAGGACCCCTAGGGTGGACCAGAGAAAGAGGGGCCTGGGGAGGTAGGGTGGAGCCCCAAAGCCTGCAAACCCCGGGACATCACTTGGC